AAAGGTGACATAGCATATGTTTACTTGCTTAGGCATATCATTAATCCTTTTAAAAATATTTCTACTTAATTGCAAACTCATTCTGGTAGAGTTATGAATGAGTGATACCAGTACATTATAAAAAATATAACATACAAATCACAAGGTATTTTAGACCAACGATGTTTTTTCTTCTTAAAACTAAATGGAGCACAATAAAATACTCTTATTTAAAGCAGTCACGTGACACAAAACTCTCAGTAAGTTTCCTTTTAAATTACTTCAAGGAAATACATATATGATTTCTTTTCTGTCATGTAGTTTGTTGAAAATACTTCTACGTTGCTTTGATATTACATTAGTGTGTAAGAAAATAAGCAATCTCTTAAAACCAGCTAAAAGTAGGGTTAAATGTTCTGGAACTGAAATACGTTGAGATAAGAGTCAGTATTAAAGCACTTTGTTAGGTAAAACTAGTCTGGCCCACAGACAAACCCCCCCCCCCCAATGAAAGAATAGACCAATCCAAGTTTTTACTTGTTATTAAACAAATGTTTAAACAACTCTATTCAGGAACTACGTTTGATATTCTACGAACTTGTCTTTCGAATTTACTACTTTTGCTAATCGAAAGTAGTATAAACCTCACCAACAGACGAGTGCTAGTAAATTACAGGTTTCAAAGGCTGATACGAAGAGCTATAAAACCAAAGAAACAACATATATAGTACATTAATGAAAGACTAAAAGAATTAAGTAAGGGGTGTTTCTTCAGTGTATATTCTTTTCTTAACGTAAACCAATTTAATACTTTTCATGTCCGTTTTGTAGTACAGCACAATGTATTCAAAATATATATAACCTACTTGATAGATCGTTACTGCATTGTCAATAAAAATTTTATATAAAAACACATACTTGCTCTCTTTCTATACAAGATTCAATAGTATTTATCTTACTGTTTAGTTTTTAATAACTGTGTTTCTTTTAATGAATGTATATGAAATAGAAATTGCTTCCGCAACATATGTTGGTTTCGTTAAATTGAGTGTGAAATTGTTTTTACAGCCGCTAAAGAAGTAATTGTTGTATGAGGTAATATTTTAACCTAATTCTTAGAATGGTGAATTTGTTACACCTGATTTGATGTTTTAGTAATATATTTCCAAATGTTCTTTAGTTTGCGGCTCATAACAGCAAGTACAGCGGTAGATTCGGTCTGATTAAATGCGTTTTATCCCTTTGATTACCAACAGTATGCTCTCATAGTTTTTGCGTTAGGTGTTATTTATCATTAACTTGGGTAAATTGTAATCTAGTATATTAAGAATTAATCGTTTGGATTTCTTGTTCACACATCATCGAAACAATAATCATCTTAAATAAATCAAACGAGGCATATACATGAAAAGTGTTGGCCATATACTCATTCTTGATATGTTTATAGCAGGAGTGTTAGGTTCAGAAGTTAAAAAAGCACTCAAATGAACCACATAGAAGTATTTATTTGTTTGTTTGTTGTTAAGCACCAAGCTACCCAATGGACTATCTGTGCCTTCCTCGGGTATCGAAAACCGAATTTTAGACTTATAAACCTTCAGACTTACCATTGAGACACAGTGGGGGGGGGGGGGGTCACAAAGGAGTAATACAATAATCATGTTTATATGTCATCAATTACGTAGATAACACAGGCCTGCGATGGTTTTGTCTTGAAATTTTTACATATTCTAGTAATTCCTGTACACTGAATTCAAAAATGATATCCATTTTTTTCCATCACGTACAGATTTTTCATAAAACGTCATAACGCAATACATAAAAGAATGACTATAACACGTAGTTTTGAGACTAAAAGACGTATATTTCACAAAAAAATAAAGATGAATGAGGGTGCATATTCGTTTGACATCAATGTTCACCCCTTTTCTTCAGTTTGTTTGTATTTTTGTTAACAAATATAATAATAAAAAATGTTCATTGTGGTAAACGAAATAATAATTTGATCTAAGTAAGAGTTTTTTCTTCCTGATATGTAAAGAATCCTTACGTGATAAAAAAAGAACATTATTTTCGAAATCTGCGTAGCTGAATTATGGAAAATCCTTTCTTAAAACCAAAAAAACGTTTATGAAGTTTAAATTCGCAGGCCTGTGTAATTATATCTACAGAAAATTATATCTATACAGCAACATTGTTGATGCCTCATAAATAAACTTTGTCTCAAGTTATTTTTTAAATTATTTATTCGTGGTATGAAAATAAGGTTAGCAGAAATATTATGCAAATACCAGATAGCTCAGATAATTATATTTAAATAAATCAGTACAAATTCAAACCCCCCTCACCTATAATGCTCTTGTCATCGTAGAATATTTTCAAAACAAATTACTCAGTGGTAAAATCTATATGTATGGTTCAATGAAATAAATACGATATAATTGAAAACGTATTATAAATGCTCAATCGAGATGAGATATAAACTGTAGGTTCCATAATCATCTTTGTTTTTAGATTTTCAGAAAATATGAAAGTAGTTCGAGAGAAAAATGATCTAAAGCTAGAAAACGCCCACAGGATCTGATGTAGTGGCTGTTATGTGGAATCTGGGTAAAGCTTACTCTATCAGATATTGTGAAGGTTGCTCCATGAAATTTGTATGAAGGTTATTTGTCAAAATGTTTTTCCAGCTTGTAACTACTGTTCTTTTGACTTGATGCAAAGGTTGTTCCAAGGAGCTAGTGTAAAGGGCATTTCCTTCAGTCTGAGGAGTAATTTCCATGACAATATGTGAAAGATGTTTTCCTAGATTTTGTGCGAACATTGTTCCTTTAAGTATTTAGCGCTTTTCTTATCTACAGATAGAGTAAAGTCTAATTCCAGTTGACTCTATATATGAGGGTGTTCACAACGTTTGTTACGCATGTGAAAGTGCCTATCGAGTGTCATAATTACTACAAAAGTATATATAAGCGGAAATAAGTCAATAAGAGAACCAATGGAAGACAACTGAGCAGGTATAAAAGAATAAAAAAGTGATTAAAAAAAACTAAGTGCTTGTGTCTTGTTTTGAATATCTCCATGTTGAAAAAAAAATGATATTTAACAAACAAAGTAACAGCGTGTATAAAAGTCTGTTCCATTTTAAATTGAAAATTAAGCCTTTTTTATGTTGAGACACCTTCTTTCAATAAAGATTTTTCGGTATATATTTGTAAATTTAAATATATTAAACTAGATTCTGTTTGTTTTCAAGCAGAGAAATCCCACGGAAGAATTAGACAATGTACCAGGTAACTTATGTGTTTATTAAATCAATCAAAAATCAATATATCATGAACAATTAGGCAAAATATTAATACAATACGAACATTTTGTGTGTTTAATTTGACTAAAAATAACATATCATTAAAATTTACAAAACGGATAAATATTTACCATGTCTACAGTTTATTTTCTTTTTAACAAACATGTAGTTATATACACAAACACACACATAGGTATATAATATGTAGTATGCAAATACTTTGACAAACCAAACTTATTAGCATAACTTCTTGTTAATTCAGTGCCATTACATTCCGTTTCTATTCTGTAGGACTATCATGTACAGGAGATAAGTCATTCGTGACATTTTAAACAACTAAAATAAGTAAAAGAAACGTTTCAGTTGATTATTGTTTACATTTTCGATGAAAATAACTTTTTGGAACCTCATTCAGGAGTACTACCCATTTGTAAATATCAACCCGATTTCCACTTCTCTCTGTAAATGATGTAGGGGGAGGGAACTAACGCTACTTTTGTAGCACAAGTTCGTGTGTTTAAGAACAAACTTCACAATGAATTTTGTGCATTGTACACATAGCAGGAATCAAATCCCGAATTTTAACGTTATATTCACCCAAGTTTACCACTGTAAGACCGGGGGGCTTGTAATATGAACTTTACTCCAGTTAATTTTTGTTATACCAAGATTAATGCCAGCCATATTAGTTCTAAGACACTATTAGATCTGGGAAAAATAGAAAAGCACTTCCAATACATTCTGTATACGTTGTTTATATAATGGATGCATAATGAGTGTTTTTACATATAAATAGATCATATATGAATATGGGAACGAGATAATTGAAAAAAAAAAGTCAAATTAACAGCTTTACTCCTTATTTGTTATGTTTTCTGGGGTTTGTCACCGTGGAACAAACAGAAGCTGAATCAACATAGAAAACCTACAAGAAAATACTGAAACATCTTTGTTAGACGTAAGGGGTGGGATGGACCCACGAAAATGAGATTTTGACAAATGAAGCATAATTAAAAAAAATAAATCAAAGTAATATCAGGAGGAATAATTATGTTCATTAAACACTAAACAAAAACTTAGTTGGTTCGATGTTTTTTGCATATTACCCCGCATGGTTACACGTGATGTGGTATTAACAAAACAAATCATTTCTCATTACTAGGTTAATTAATGGTAAATACGTAACTAAGTAAAGTAAATTACGAGTTAATTTAGACCATATTAATTAATTTTGATTTTGACATTACGGCATGGTTTTGTTTATCTTCTTCTTTTTTTGTCAAGGTATAATATCGCAAATGCGCGTGACTTTCTCTTTTTATGCTCCTAAGTTTTGTTCTCGTGGCAACGTACGATAGGATAAGAGTAAACTGTTCGCGAGCGTGCTGCTTTGCTTTCGAAAAAGGGGGCGGAGCAACTACTGCTGCTATAATACTGCTTCTCACGACTTTCCATTACTTGGCACACAACGCAGTGTTAGCAAAAGACTGTACTACTGCGAAGGTAAAGTTGTACACACAATTTTACAAAGAATCATTCCGCGTGTCAATCACTTACCCTCAGAGCACTATGACATCCTCTCAGAGATAGCTAACTGTCCTGGAAGAGGTGATTTTTATATTTTCCTCCTGCTCTCAGGGTTCATACTTGTTCTTAAGCAAGCCTATAATCACGTGTTAACCTATAGGAGTAAAGAACGTAGTTACAAAAAAATCCCGCAGCTTACTATTGCTTTTAAGTTCATATCATCCTCTACATTTTTCTGTTTCTGGACACGGATCGACATGTCGGAAATTCAACATCACAACATGAGCAGTGTGCAACAGAAAGACACCACCTACACCAAGATTTTCGTCGGAGGATTGCCATATCATACCACTGATAAGTCCCTTCAACAGTTCTTTGAGAGCTTTGGAGAGATCGAAGAAGCCGTTGTCATAACGGACAGACAGACAGGCAAAAGTCGAGGCTACGGATTCGTAAGTATACATAATTTTATGCGTTACACATCTTGTAATAATAATGGAACGTTCTAAAACCAACACAACCAGAACAACATCTTGCTCGTCTATATCTATATATTTATAGTTTATATGTAGTTGAATATTTGGATCAATTTGTTATCAAGATTATTTGTGTGTGTGTATACATTGTAAAAAAAAGATCTGTTGTAAATTATCACAAGTTCTGTTCCCCACACACAAGCTCATATGAACTTTTGCACAGTTGATTGTTGTAGCGGTATAGTCACAAGTTTTATTTGTTCTTTAACAACACAAATGATGTGCGATTTTCAATTCAAAATTGTGTTCATTTAAAATATTGTTGTAAAGGGACATTTACTTTATGTATATATAAATTGTAAAATTCAACACAGGTTTGTGTATAAGCCAATACAATTGTTGTTAGCCCACAATGATTGTGTTTTTTAAAACTTAAACTTATGCTGTAGCCATTCAAAAACCAGACGTAGAAGATGAGCTGTTTGATACACTTGGTAAAGTCACATAAGAAATATCTCAAATGTAATTGAAATGTTGCAAGAAAGGGGTAAAATCTAACTGATGCTAAATTATGATAATAATAAAAACAAAACTAAGATTACACAGTGATATTATATAATATAAACTTAAACACAGTAGAAGCAGTACTGAGTGTACAAAACATATAATATATATTATACAGTAATATTATATAATATAGACTAAAACACAGTAGAAGCAATACTGAGTGTACAAAATATATAATATATATTAGACAGCGATATTATATAATATAGACTAAAACACAGTAGAAGTAATACTGGGTGCACAGAATATATAATATATATTAGACAGTAACATTATATAATATAGACTAAAACACAGTAGAAGTAATACTGGGTGCACAGAATATATAATATATATTAGACAGTAACATTATATAATATAGACTAAACACAGTAGAAGTAATACTGAGTGTACAAAATATGTAGTATGTATTACACAGTAATATTATATAATATAGACTAAAACGCATTAGAAGCAATACTGAGTGTACAAAATATGTAGTATGTATTACACAGTAATATTATATAATATAGACTAAAACACAGTAGAAGTAATACTGAGTGTACAAAATAACCTAAAATCTCTGCATGAGATGACAATAAAATCAGTGAATCATACGTATATACATATATGTATGTAGATTATTTAGCCATAAGTTACATCATTTAATATTATAGGTGCTATCAAATTAAAAATATATATTTCATGAGCATTACCGCTTTCGTCACTGAAAGTAGTTGTTTGCCTGATCTCCTGCCGATTCACCAATAAGTGAAGACTTAGAGAAAACATTATAGTTATTTTAATAACAATAAAAAATATTGTACAACATTCAAAAATCTAGAAAATTATATGGCTCATTTCTTTCCCCAAAGTTTCTATATTGCTAGTAAACAGAAAACCTGCATATATGCATAAGAAGCTTAGATCGTAAACTGATATAGCTCGTTCAACTCCGTTGCGGATTTCTTTATTTAGGTTTCCTTTCTAACAAAAATATGTGTTAATAAGCTCGAGTTATTAGCGGAAGTTTTACTTCTGTAAGACCAGATATCTCCCTGGTAATTGCATGTGATATATATATATATATATATCAGGTATAAACTGATGTGCGGACTTTTCAAGTCATGCTCTACCTGTAATTGATGTCAAAGTGAGATAGAAATGTTGACGTGAAGCGTATGACTAAACAGCTGTATAATTTCCTGTTATATTTAGGTCTAGTGTGACGTACATTTTCTATATCGGTTCATGTAACGTATGCTAGCTTTTCCATCCTTTGTCTAGCATCGACAGATGTGTAGTGGTTTCTCTAAAGGATGAACCAGCTTTTTAATGCACGTGTCCAACCACAAAAGCGTGTACTGGATGACCGATAGAAGTCTGCTCAAACTAACAAACGACAATTATTATAGCAAATACATATATTACGTTTTTAAATGCTCATTAAATCTGCCGATATACATAGAGATGCTCGTGGCTATTTAGAGAATTATTCAGGGAAAAATTCAGCACGTGTTAGTGATGTATTGGCCATTAAAGGATAATATATTCTTATGCTTATGGAATAGTGGAGACTAACATCAGAAAGCTTCTCCACATTCTGCTACAAACGTTTCTTTGAAGGAAAGGTAGAAAGTCACACCTTATAAATTATATATATATATATAAACTGTTTTGTGTTAGAGAGCTTTTAGATGCATCACTGATCAAAGAAAGTTGTATTAAATAGGATAATTCAAAGTTGCTCGTTTTAAGTTTAAATCTTTATATTACGACAATTCAAATGGAAACATCTGAGATATTTCTATCATTCATTACGTGACAACAAGTGTTATGTTTGAATTTTGTTTCTTGGGGAAGTATTTTTACTGAAAGCTCCTGCCTGTTTTGTTGATGACAATGTTCTGGGTTTCCATGCTGAATCTTTCCTCATATATGGAGAGTTGGAGGAAAAATCTAAGAGAGCTATTTTGGCAGAAAGCCAAGGATAGCCAGGTATTAGCTATCACTCTTTATCCTTCATGGGAAGGTGAATGAGAGACTTGGTTGATATGTTGGGTTGTACATTTGATGTCCTCAGGTGCGTAACATAAAGCTGAGAGTGTATTGAAAATAGTATAACTTTCACATGATTTATTTTAATAACGATTTCCGAGTGAGATGCATTTGTTGTCAAATCAATATCTATATCAGTATTTGGCTGATTTTTCTAGATATATGAGCCTTGTTACATCTACAGGAATTTTGATTCTTTGTTGGAAAGTGTTATCTGTTTCCTCAATGAAAACTTTTCCAACTAACTGTATGGAATGATGTGTACACTATTTTTCTTTTCCTTTTTTTTCGTGAGGAAGGTTGTTTAACAGAACATGATGTCTTTGAGAGCTTTCCGGTTTTGAATGTTACTTTGACGTTAAACTGTTTGTAGAACATTTTCATTTTGTAGCTAAGGAATTAGGATTGTTGGATCTGAAGTGAATGTACTGTTAAGTGTGGATAGGTTTTCTATAGAATTTTATGGATAAGTGGTAATCGTTTCAATGAACTAACATTGATGAAGAGTAGCTGGTAGTTCTCTTCTATCTGTACCGTGAATTGATTGTTGGTGTTTGGTGGATAAGTGGTAATCGTGTCGATGAACTAACACGTTGATGAAGGGTAGCTGGTAGTTCTCTTCTATCTGTACCGTGAATTGATTGTTGGTGTTTTGTGGATAAGTGGTAATCGTTTCGATGAACTAACACATTGATGAAGGGTAGCTGGTAGTTCTCTTCTATCTGTACCGTGAATTGATTGTTGGTGTTTTGTGGATAAGTGGTAATCGTTTCGATGAACTAACACATTGATGAAGGGTAGCTGGTAGTTCTCTTCTATCTGTACCGTGAATTGATTGTTGGTGTTTTGTGGATAAGTGGTAATCGTTTCGATGAACTAACACATTGATGAAGGGTAGCTGATCGTTCTCTTCTATCTGTACCGTGAATTGATTGTTGGTGTTTTGTGTATAAGTGGAAATCGTGTCGATGAACTAACACATTGATGAAGGGTAGCTGATAGTTTTCTTATATATCTATACCGTGAATTGATTGTTGGTGTTTTGGCGAATGATGCAAAGTTGTCAATATAAATATCGTTTGTGAGTGTGAGGAGTGTAAGGATTAATAACAGGTATCCGGCTAATTGGTAACAAGGGGAGCTACATCACTTACGAAGGATCTGAGTGAAGATCAGATTTATGGGCCTTAGGGAGACCATATAACCATGTTGTTGAGCTGTGCAGCTATTAAAAATATTTATGTTGAAATTCTTGTGTGCCAGTTCTTTAATTAGTCTGTCAGTTTTGTTTTCAAATTTTTCTGTTTGGTCTTATAATATTTTATATTGCCCGGTATAAGAATCTGTTGTGGCTAGTTGTCGTTGTCATCCACGTTCAGTAAACAGTTTTATTCTCTTCGTCGGTGGGAAGGGAGTTAATTGTACACATCAGAGAAGGTCGTTTTGGACAACTTGTCTTACTTATTTGTATCAATTTGTCCATTTCCTTTTTCTGAGTGATTTTTAGTTAACCGAACACATGATTGTATGAGTTTTGGGACTTCGTGAGTACTTTAAGTAGGTGAGAAGTTTTTTATTTAGGTACTCAAGTTGAGTTTGTAGATTTGGTCTTTTATCCTGTATATATGCAGAATAGTTGTTAAGATCTACTTTTAAGTGTCTGTTGAGGATTTTATCATTCTTTAGAGAAGGAATGAGAGGTTTAAGTTTTAACTTTAGGAAATTTGATTCTAAGCTCTTGATATTGACATGTCAATACAAAAGTGAAGTTGTTGTGGAATATGGCTAGAATGGTGAGGGTTTGTAATGTTGTTTTAAGATGTGGTGAATGGTATGTTCACAACGGCTTCTTAATTCTTATTTGAAGGTAGCGTTGGGCAACGTGATCGATATGGGGTGTTTTTAGTGCAAAACTCTTGCCTTGCGTTTGATGGTGACAACATTTCAGACTTCACAGTGAGTTCTTCTTCAGGTCTTCGCTCAGACTTTGCATTCGATATAATGATGTTCTTCTCTCACTGCCTCAGCAAAAACCATTTTCATCTACAAGAGAGCTTCTATGGACAGACCAATGGCTTAGCCATGGGTTCACCGCTCTTTTCCATTGTCGACGATTTCCTCATGCCAGTTTGTTTATCGTATTTCGTGCAAAGCTACACGAGGGTAACTGTCTTAGCCGTCCTTGACTTTGAAGTGATAGACTAAAAGGAAGACAGATAAGCAACATCATCAAACGCTAACTCTTGAGCTACTTTACTCAAATAGTGAGATTCGACCGTCATTGTTATAATGCCTCAACGGCACCTGTCTCCCAGTAGGTCAGCGATAAGCTTACGGATGCACAACCCTATGAAATCTGAGGTTTGATTCCC